AAAAAAAAAAAAAAAAAACCATCATTACAGGTTTGCCTGCCTCTCTCTGCCTGCGTGCCTATCTACCTGTTTACCTGCCTCTCTGTCTGCATGCCTGTCTGCCACGTCAACACCTGCCTGCCTGTCTGAAACATCAACACCTGCGTGCCTGTCTGCCACGTCAACACCTGTGAGACAAACAAATAGACAGACAGGCAGACAGACAGACAGGCAGACAGCAGACAATCAAACAAACAGACTGATTGACTGACAAACAAACAGTTTGTCGGTCTGTTCGTCTCTGTGTCTGTCCGTCTGTCTGTCAGCCTCTCTGCCTGACTGTCAACATCTGCGGTACAGGCCCGGGCCCAAACCCAGGTCAACGGCGACCTGGCCATACCCAAGTCAACGGAGGTACAGGCCCGGGCCCAGACGCAGGTCAACTACGGTACAGGCCGAGACCATGGCCACGTTAACATCTGCCATTGGACGCAGGCCTGTACTTGGAGCCCTGAAAAAAAAAAATAAAAAAAATCATTGCAGGTCTGCCTGCCTCTCTCTCTACTTGCGTGCCTATCTACCTGTCTGCCTGCCTCTCTGTCTGCGCGCCTGTCTTCCATGTGTGCCTGTCTGGCACGTCAACACCTGCGTGCCTGTCTGCCACGTCAACACATGCGTGCCTGTCTGCCTGTCTGCCACGTCAGCACCTGCGAGACAGACAAACAGACAGAAAGGCAGACAAGCAGACATGCAGACAATCAAACAGACAGACAGACTGACTGACAAACAAATAGTTTGTCTGTCTGTTCGTCTCTGTCACTGTCCGTCTATCTGTCAGCCTCTCTACTTGACTGTGAACATCTGACAGGCAGACAGGCAGACGGGCACACAGACAGTCAAACAATCAAACAGACAGGCAGACAGACACACAGACAGGTAGACAGACAAACAATCAAACAGACAGACTGACACACTGACAGGCACACAGGCACACAGAGTAGGGCTTTGTAAGGGCAAAAAATAAAATAAAATGAAAAAAAGCAACAAAAACTGTCAGAGCCTGGACCTGGGCCCAAGCAACGTCTTAAACCTGGGCCTGGACCCAACACCTAGGATCGAGACCTACTCTGGGCCCAGGTAAACGCGAGAACAGGCCCAGGTCCACACTGATGTCAACATCGGTACCGGCCCGGGCCCAGGATCAAGTCAACGTTCCTATTACTGTATAAAATGTTGACCAAGCCGAGGATGGAGCATGTGAAAGTGCAACTCGTGCACTGTGTCGCTCCATAGCCTCTCTTTGTCTCTCCATCACTCTCTCTCTCTCTCTCTCTCTCTCTCTCTCTCTCTCTCTCTCTCTCTCTCTCTCTCTCTC